TTCTTGAATCAATACTATTTTAATTGTTTTGAATTAAAAAGTTCAAATAAAATAGGAGATTATAAAACTATCATCATCATTAAAATTAAAAACATTAATATCATCAATTATTCTTACTGATATTTATTCTAAATCATCCATCATTTCATCTACATTTACTTCATCTCTATTTGATATATTATCATCATCTATATTATTTAATTCATTATAAACCTTTGAAGAATCTAAAGAATCTTGAGTCTTTTTTGATTTATTTGCAAAAAATTGCTTTCTTATATACTATGTTATTTATACTATTTAATAGTTTTTTTAATGATAAACAATTATGCCATTCAGTATGTATAATGTCTATAAGAGACTATACCCTTTTTGAAGTTGCTGAACTTGATGAAATTGAAAAAAACCTATAAGTAAATTCAGCTAAATTTGGTACATAAGGTAAAACAGTTTTCTAATATCTCAATGAATTCTTAGTAATTTTTGAACTATTTAAAGATTCCGCTTTAAAAATATCTTTCTTATTTTAATAATCTAACTATTTATCTATAAATGCATTATTATCTTTATCTGAATATAATATACAAAATAAAGAATAAGCATCCTCTTAAATTTGTAATAACTTTGTTAATTTGATTCCTTTTCCTTAATAATATAAATGTAAAAACTAGGTAATAAGAAAAACCAAATTGTAAATTTTCTTCCATCAATTATCAATTTCATTAATCATTAAAGTTTTAAATTCTTTTTCATTAGAAGGTAATTTATTAATAACTTCTCTTAACTATGCCTATGTTGCTATAACTTGAATGACTTTTTATACAAATGATTATTTGCTAAATATCTTTTATATTATTAGTTATTTTTGAAGCTAAATTTAGCTTTTTATGTTTACAATTATATACATGATATTTGTTATATTCTTTAGCAGTTTTTTTCTAATTTTTCTTATATTGCTTAGTAATATATTACTTTATGCTATTTAGGCATCTTAATTTTTACTTTCAAATTTTATTGAAAATAATTATTTTATCATTTAATAAATAAGTCAAAAAGATTTTGTAAAAATTAGTATTTTTATTATTATAGCTCATGTGATTTGTAATCTTACTATATATTATTACATTATTACAATATGTTAATTATAAACTGATTTTATAATTTATTATTATAAATTAATATATAATATAATTAATCAATATTTATTAAGAATCAGAATAATCAAAATTATTTAATTGCTAATTAAATAATAAATATCTTAATATATATTTTGTTATTTCATTTATTAGTTATAAAATTTTTAAATATGTATATAAATTTTACTTTAGACTTATAATAGTTTCTATTTTCTAATATATTAAATATAAAATATATAATTATTATTTTAAATAATTAATTAATAATAAAACTACTAATTTATATATATAATCTTTTTATATATTAAATAATTTTAAAAAATTAGCTTTTATTATATATGTAACTTAAAATTTTAAAAATTAAAAATATTTAATAGTTATTCAATATAAAATGTTAAGTAACTGAATTGAAAAAGTTTTAATAGATCCTAATCAATCTTAAATAATTTTAAAAAAATTATTAATTTTAAAGATTAATTTTTTTTAAATAATATTTTTATAATAATTTTTTAATTAAAATTACTTATTAAAATAAATTGAAATTTTCTTTAAATTTAAATTTAAAAAAAATATTAGATTAGAACTTAAGTTCTAAAATTAGATTCTTAAATAAATAAATTTCTAAGAAGAAAAACAATAAAAAAAAACAGACATTTTTGCTAATTATAAAAAAGTGATAAAAAATAAAGAATGTAATTTATAAATAGTTTTTTATTTTAAATTAATAAATAAATTTATTTATTTTAATTATTAAATTTAATTAATAATATATAAATAAAATTATATTTTAAATTTTTTAAGATTAATTAAGATCTATTAAAATTTTATTAATCCTAATAATTAATAAAATTTACTAAGTTCTATTTAGCAATTCTACTAATTATATTCTTATTAAAATATATTTAAGGTATAGCAGTATCACAATTATAAGGTCAATGATATAAATAATTATTTAGTTTACAAAAATAGTTAATTTAAATTTTTATGACTTTTTTAATTTTTAATAAATTATTTTTTCTACAAAAATAAATGATTATTTTTTTTTCTTTTATATCTTGTTTATTTAAAAAAATTTCTTTTTAATATATAAAATGATATAAAATATTTCATTCAAATGTAATCATTTACCTTCCTTATGCAAAAAATATTTATTTACAAATTATTAATTTTGCATTATATGTATCTGATAAAGATTAAAAATGATTATAAATACAAGAAAATGATAATAATTATGAAATATTATAAAATTTGCACTTTTAATAAATAAATTAATAATTAGTTATTAAACTATAATAAATAGTAATTTACAATTTAACATAATAACAAAATAAATAATTAATAACTAATTATATTAGCAAAAATTATCAAATAGTAAATTATTGATAAATATTATTATTACTTTTATTTTTAATACTTTTTTATATAATTTATAATATATGTTATTATCATGTAAATAGATATTTAAAATAATTTATAATAAATAGTAATAATAATAATATAAAAAAAGTAAAGCAAAAAATAAATTAAGTAAAATTTTAACATACTATAAGATTTTAAATACTTTATTTTTACATCTTTATTAAATTATAAAATTTGATTTATATTAAGTTTTTTAAATATTATTTATAAAACTTATAAAATTAATAAGATCAAATAATTTAATAAATGTATTAGTAATATAATCGTAATTGTAATATAATTTAAGTTAATAAATTTTATAATTTTATAAATATATTTTATTAGCATATTTTTACATAGTTTAGGATTTAAACAACGTTTACTAAAGTTTCAAAATATCTTAAATAATAACAATTTATTTATCTTAAAAAGTTATTATTATAATAAAAATATCCTTAATTAAAGATTTATGTTGTTGAGTTATACTCTGCCGTTACCGTATGAAATATAAAAAAAAATTTATTTTTATTATTATATATTATAAAAGAAAAAAAAAAAATTCTATATCTATATTAATTCAACTGAATAATAACTATCTAGCATCACCCGAAATTTCCTTCAAAATGTGATGCTTAATTCGGCAGAATAAAGTAAGCCGAGCTTATGTATTATTTATTATTCATCGAATGTAAATAGAATTAACGGAAATAATTAGCGACGACGTGATCGAATCATATGAATCATATTAATTACCTGATACAATGAAAAACTTATGTTTATTATACATTAAAAATAATTTACATTACCATTTAATGCTTTCCAACCGTTACTCCTATATCTTCTAAATGTCCATTCTCTACATTGAAGACCCAACCGTGAATTGCTAATTTTCTTTTCTCATCTTTCCAAGCTTCCTGAACGATTTCATTTGAAGCAATTTTGTTTACTTGCTTTGAAACATTAATCTTAATTAATCTTTTATGCAATCTATCTATTTCACTTTGGGGCAACGTGCTTTTGAGCACGTGATTCGGAAATAATTCTGGATATTCATCTTTTATTTTTCGGATATCGGTCAACCAAGTTTTTAAATTGATGTGAAGTTCATCGTTACAAGCATTCATTACGCCTGCACAATTAGTGTGACCTTAAAAAAAGCCGAAGATCAAAATAATATCTTTTTTTGATGAGCGGTAAAATTCAATTACACTTCGACTTACCACATACAATGATATGTTCAACTTTGATATTATGCACAGCAAATTCCAATTCTGACATACAATTCAAGTCATTGGCATTGAATTGATTCGCAACATTTCTGTGTACAAATATTTGACCAAAACCCAATTGAGTGATCGTTTCCGGGACAACGCGAGAATCCGAACAACCTAAATAGGAGAGAGAGAGAGAAAAAAAAAAGATCGATCTCAATTTGAAAGATTTAGATGATCATTTTGTCAAAAACATTTAAATAATAAACAACTTGCCGATCCAAAACAATTTAGGACTTTGTCCTTTGGATAAGTTCTCAAAAAACTTTATGCGATGTAATTGTTCTGTGTTTGCCCATTTTCGATTGTTTTCAAATATATCCTTCAGTCCATTAGGAAGTTGTTCATATGATCTTATAAGATCAGGAACATGAGCTTTTATTATATTTGGATCGTCATGGATTGGAAGATGATAATTCGGTATAACTACCACATTTGGCTTTGGCTTTGAACGTTGAAGAATTGGCATATCTTTAATTTGTATTTTTAACGAATTTCCAAAGTTCTTTAAAATCGGCATGCCTTTTGGCCAAACTGTAAATAAATAAGGAAATCAGCCGTAATGTTCATTGAGTCATAATGAACTTACACAACCAACTTACCCATGATTTGAAATAGTTAATTAAGAAAAATCAACGAATTTGTTGACCTTGAACAGAAAGAAGAATTCCATACCTTTTATAAATAAATTCAATAACATAAATATTCAGATCTGATAGATTAAAAAGTTACGTTATATCTTGTGCTTCAACAAAATTCTGGATAGATTGTTCTTTTTTTTGGATTAAAAATTGATAGATCATCGTTCTTATTGCGTAATGTTACGTAAAATTGTTTGCCAAAGGCGTTTTTAACGGGTATTACGATCATAAATGAGTGATGAGTTAATTTCATTTCATTTTAACCAATTATCCTTTTGATTTTAACATCATTCATTAATATTTCAAATGTCAACAATCAGTACTTTGATATTTATTTTGATTATTCTTTTTACAAATTAATAATGATAAGAATGACTATGGATTCAATCTCTACCGTTAACCATCTAAGGGCGTTCAGAAGTGTGATTTCAGATGTTGGCAAAGGTTTATGAAGTCTGTCCCATCTTTATGGCATATCTAAATATTTCCATTCTTATTATAATTAAGGCAAAATTTCATTCCCCATCTTAACAAATATATTTGGATTCCAATGTATACCATGCACTTGCAGTACATCAATAAAACTATGTTTACATTATTTAAATAATATTATGCATGATCAAGCTAACAAGTTATACAAGTTCACCTCTATTGCATTAAATGTGTGAATTACATGAAAACATTTTGTTATAATGAATCAAATTTACTTTTTCCATATCTTCTTTTCTTTCAAGATTTTCATTATGCCATTTATCGCTACTTATCAACTTCTGAAGCAGTTTTTATATTTTGTGTCGTTCGTTTTCTTTTGAAAAAAAAAAAGGTCCGTGGTGAACTTTTTTTAGTCAAAAAGATAAGGATCCAACAAATGTACTGTCTCCAGTTTCCATATCAACGAGAACTTCTTTCTAACATTTTTTAAAAAAGAAATGGGATCCGCCAAACCATCATATATTACGAAGTTTTGCTTTCTGATTGTAGGTGAACGTGTCGTCAGCGGTTATAGAAACGAAAAGTGGATATAATTAATTTATATTATTATATAATTTGATTAATTGATTATATTTTATTATGAATTAATTTTATCCCTTAAACCATTTTAATTACGCGAAAGTACAAATTTTTCTAGCTTCAAAGACAAGGAAGTCTTGATAGTCTGGACCTTTAATGAACAAAAAAATGGATCTTCGGTGGTGATCAAAGTTATGTCCATAAATGTGTGGAAATAATGTGCCATCATTCCAATTTTAATAATAATGTTGGGGTCACGATGCTTGAGCACTTGAAGATCACAATAAGAACTGACGCTAATATTTATTTACTTTTTTACTCTTTTTTTTTTTTTGATTTATTTTGTAAAAATATAATAAAATGCCTACATTGTACACTTATATTACGACTTCTTTGACTTTTACTGTAACTTATAGTTGCAGCTTGATTTCGTTATTTATGCCAGAGTGGTAAGTTAAAGTTTTACAACTATTCCATAGAATAAATTCGAAAGAAATGAATAAGACACGATTTTATTTAAAAATGTACAAGTTTATAAGTTTTAAGTATTCTTTTAATATATTATTTTTTTTCAAGGTTACGTTTTGAAAGTCCAAGACCATATAAAACTATAACGAATTATGGTCTGTTTCAGGTAAAGAATACAATTTTCTGTTTAAATAAGATTAATCCTAGTTTTCAATTTATATATCTCATTGTTTCTTGCTTTAAAAGAAATGTTCAACCTTAAATGATGTAAAATGTAGAGATTTTCCTTCAATAGATTATGGAGATTGCGAAGAAGAAAGATTCTGTGAAGAATGGAATACAGCTAGAAATGCTATGATATTCGCCGCCGTGATTGGTGGTCTTACTTTAATTTATTGTATTATTGTGTTATTAAGTGGTGGTTCTCATCATAAACATGCTTGGAAAGTTTTTGTTGGTTCGATTTTTTTTCATTGTGAGTCTTTTTATTATTATTATTATTATTATTTATTATAAAATTTAAATATTTTTTTTTTACTAAATATATTTATTTGTTTCCTTTTACAGCTCTTCTTCAAATATCTTCAATCGCATTAATTACACATCTTTATTTTACTTCAAACCAATTCCTCTATGGAGTTAGATTTGATAATAGTTATTTTCTTTCCACCGGTTCTTCGGTGGTTAACTTTATATTATCTCTTATTTTATTCTTTTTCGGTCGTTCTTTCAGACCTTCATACGAACCCATAAGTTAAATGCACCATAGCATAGATATTAAGTATATTAATATAATATTATAAAGCAAAGGTCGACTAAAACAAAAAGGGAAGTTTAAAATTATATTTATTTTGGTAAGCCCCGTAAGATTTATCATCCTCTTCATAGTTGGGTCAATATATCAAATTACTATGGATTATCATTTGCATATCACGTGACTATATTAATATCAATTATTATAAAATTCTTAGTTTTATTTTATTTTTTAATCATTTTTTTTTATATTTAAATTATTAAAAATTTATAATTTTTAATATATAATATAAATAATAAGTTATTGATATTTAATCAAGAAATTTTTAAGTGAAACTAATTCATAGTTATTTTTATGATTATAAAAACTTTAAATAAAACGTTTCTAATTTTATTATATTATTTAATAGAAAATCTCTTAATAAATATACATATATAAGATATAAGTCATGTAATATATATAAACTTATTATGTGAAATTGCATAATGTTAGAGTTAGTTTAAAAATTAGGTTTAAATTATTCAAATCATATTTTATTATATAGTATTTTTCTGAAAATAAATAAATTTTTTTATACAAAAATATTATTTGCATTTTATATTTTATATAGTATTTAAATATCTTATACAGTTAACACTATTTATAATAAAACTAATAGTTTTATTAGAAAAATTTATTATATAAATTACTATGTTTTCTATATAAACCATTACATTTTTTATAATAAATTATAATAAAAAATTTAATTAAAAAAATTTAAAATTTATTATATCTAGTATTTAT